TTACCTTTAATAAGATCAATCTTATTTATAAAGTATACCATAAAATCATTGCTGCTAAGAGCAGGTGGAATGGACGGTTCAACAGAGCTATGGCTCTGGGTGAGTTTGGCAACTAGATCAAAAAGATATCTAGGATTATTCTTATTCTCCTCTTTTAATGAGAAATATGCTGCTCTTGCTTTACAAAGGGTCCTCTTATACAGCAGTAAACTATTTTTCCAGACTAGGAAGGACTCCCGCAGGCCTGTGGAGCGACATTTTCTCTCCAGTTTCCTAATATTTTCCTTCAAAGTACGCAGCTCTGCATTAAACCAAAGAGCCAGATTTCTATTTATAACAGTTTTCATTTTCAAAAGAGCTTCTTGTACGCAGAGAAGTAGCAACCCCATCAACAAAATCATCAACCTGTGAAGGGGAATAGTGTCTCTGAGGTTTCCCTCAGGTCTTCCTGTAGGACAGAGACACTCCTAGTCTGTAGAGGACATGTATCTACGGATCAGGACTGAACTGGATTCCTGACCTTCTTTCCTCTTCCTGCAGGTAGAAGGATTGATGGACGATATAGATTTCAAAGCCAAGGTGACCAGAGCGGAGTTTGAAGATCTGTGTGCTGATCTGTTTGAACGAGTCCCTGGACCGGTGCTGGACGCCCTCACAGCAGCTGAACTGAAGCTGGTCAGTGAGTCCTGTGGATCCAAACTGCACCGTTTCTGTCCAACCCCACGTCTCTCCCTCTGTCCCTGTCAGAGGTCGTCTCTGATTGGCTGAACTCGCTGTGAGGCAAACCCTTTGATCTAGCTGTGACTGTAGGATGTTTTCTGTCCACAGGAAGACTTGGAGCAGGTGATTTTAGTGGGTGGAGCCACACGTGTCCCCAAGGTCCAGGAGGTGCTGCTGAAAGCTGTGGGGAAGTATGTGCCGGCAGAAACCGTCTGAGTGGATCTGATTGGCTGTGGAGGTCTGATGTGGTTTTGCTTGCAGGGAGGAGCTGGGGAAGAACATCAACGCCGACGAGGCGGCGGCGCTGGGGGCCGTGTACCAGGCGGCGGCCCTCAGCAAAGCCTTCAAGGTCAAACCTTTCCTGGTCCGGGATGCGGCCATCTTCCCCATTCAGGTCTGAGCTGCTCCAGAACCAGTTGGCCTTTGCTCTGGTCTCATTGATCGAATGCATTTAAAGAGAACTTCTTGATTGAAAACCTTTCAGCGCTTTTATTTCCAGAAGATTCTCTGTCCTTTGCTGCGTGCAGCTTTAGCCTGACCTGCTGAGCTGGACGGTTTGTTCCTTCAGGTGGAGTTCAACCGGGAGGTGGAGGAAGAAGAAGGGATCAAAGTCCTGAAGCACAGCAAGCGCATCCTGTTCCAGAGGATGGCGCCGTACCCCCAGCGTAAAGTCATCACCTTCAACCGCTACACTGACGACTTCACCTTCAACATCAACTACGGAGACCTCAGCTTCCTCAGCCAGGAGGACCTCAGGTCTGCTCCGCTGGGCTGGTCCACTTTGATGTTCCTCTCAGACTCAGTCAGTAATTTCCCAGCATGCCTCTGTTTCCCAGCATCTTCGGCTCGCTGAACCTGACCACGGTCAAGCTGTCCGGAGTGGGCGAGAGCTTCCAGAAGCATGCGGACGCCGAGTCCAAAGGAATCAAAGCCCATTTCAACATGGATGAAAGCGGAGTCCTGCTTCTGGATCGGGTCAGTTCCTCTACTGTAAACGGGTCTGAGGGCCAGAATGACCCAGAACCTGACCCGGGTGGTGTTGCTCACTGGAAGCACAGTCATGGCTCTTCTGTGAATGTTTGCTGAAGGTGGAGGACTGAGGTCTGTCACTGAAACCTTCATGTTCCTGCAGGTGGAGTCCGTCTTTGAGACCATTGTGGAGGAGAAGGAGGAGGAGTCCACCCTAACCAGTAAGCATGAACAGGCTAGCCCCAGTTAGCGTTAGCATCATCTGCATCCAGTTTATATGAACATATTAAGCAGCAGGTTAACCTGGGGGGTGTTAGCGGCCCCAACAGCATCAGGACAAAGGCATCAGGGTACCAGCTGCCATAACACTGTTGCTATGGAGATACAGCAACTCCTCTGCTGATTGGTTTAATAACATCCTGAGAAACCAGATGTTCCTTAAGGCCCAGAGGTTGGGCGGCCGGTCGGTCCTGGGGGAGCGAGGGAGGGTGTGTGGTTCCGGGTCCCGGAGGGGGGGAGGTCCCTGGGGTGCAGAATGTGGGCAGGAGGTTCGAGGGCGGGACCAGACGGTGGGTGGGTGGCACCGATGTTTTTGGCCGTTCTTTCTTTACTGGGTTTTCTGTTCTGAGGTTTTGGCGAAGAAGCATAGCTGAGATCAGAGGATTTAACTGGACTTCCGACAGAACCTCCCTCTGGAATGAATGGTTCTACAGCAGGTCCAGCATTGACGCCAGAGTCCTGTTCTCAGAGGTCTCCAGGTTCTGGAGGTCTCTCTAATCCAGGTTTCTTTATTCCAGAGCTCGGCAACACCATTTCTACCCTGTTTGGAGGAGGATCCTCTGAGCCCAGTCCCAATGCAACAGAACCAGTCCAGGTAGGTGACCCCACTCCAGGGGCCTCCCAAGAGGAACCCGGACTGACGGTTCTGTCTTTGTGTTCAGGAGGAGGAGGAAGTTCCTCCAGAGTCTGGGAAGGAGGGCAGCGAGGGCCAGAAGGACCAAGAGAACCAGACCAAAGAAGGTTCATCAAAAGGTGCTGATGAGGAGAAGAGCCCAGAGAACCCAGAGGACACGGCCACCAGAACCCAGGCCCCGGTAAATGATTCCCTCCCACCATGATGGCCCGGTTAGCAGGGCTTCAGAACCATGTTTGGACCTCTGCTGCAGCTGAGAAAAAATGTGGTCTTCACTCAGGAGGAAAAAGGTGGAGAGAAACCTGAAAGCGTGGAGCCTGAGAAGAAAGCCAAACCTCAGAAAAGAACCAAGATCTCTGAGGACGTCTCTCTGGAACTGGTCCTCCACGACGTGGTGGACCCCACAGCAGAAGAGCTGCTGTCCTCCAGACAGAAGTAGGTCCACTAAGGTCTGTGTTCTTCCATGGCGACGCCGTCGGTTCTGTGGAACCAACGCTTTGGGTCTCCTCAGGTTACAGGATCTGACCAACAGAGATCTGGCCAAGCAAGAAAGGGAGAAGGTCCTGAACAGCCTGGAAGCGTTCATCTTTGAGACGCAGGTAAGCCACCGACGCTGAAGGAGCACAGACCTGAACCCAAACGGATCAGAACTAAACTAACTTAATGTCTGCTTGATGTGAGCAGGACAAGCTTCACCAGGAGGACCACCAGCAGGTGATGACGGAGGAGGAGCTTCAGCAGATCCTGGGCCAGCTGAGGGAAGCGTCTGATTGGATGGATGAGGACGGCTACCGGGCCGGAACCAAGGAGCTGAAGGAGAAGCTGTCTCAGCTCAGAGGCCTCTGCAGGGACGTCTTCTTCAGGGTGGACGAACGCAGGAAGTGGCCCGAGCTCCTCGGCGCCCTGGACAGCCTCCTCAACACCTCGGCCTTCTTCCTCAGGTCAGCGCCCCGCCGGACCTCCAACCGGGTCTGACCCCATCTTCCAGGTTCTGTTCAGAAGTTTGATCGCTCAGAGAAAGAAATGCGATTATTTAATCTCTAGAAGTCGGTTCTGAAGGTCCACTCTGACTCGTCCAGGTTCTAAATGACCCGGTTCTGATGGATCTGCTCCAGCTTTCTCCTCGCTATCGGTGGAGATCAGTTATCGTGGGGAAAAAGTATTCAACTATTCATCCATGTTAAATAAACGGATCGATGGATTTCACTCAGTCGGCGCATTTATTCATATCTTTGCAAATAGAGAACAGTTGATCATGCAGCCCTAATGGCCGCATTCTGCTCTGTTCTGATCTGAGCAGCGATCGTTCCTCCTTAATTACAACAATGGAAAGCAGTCAGAGTCAAAACTAATTACAGACACTTTGGTTAAACAGTAACATGTTAAAGGAGAAGTTCGGTTTTTTACACTTTAAGCCCATTTTCTGTAGTGTCCAGGATGAAATCGAATGATCGACACCAAAA